TGAGGGACACTTACCCAACGGAGCATCGCAAAGTAGCGCACACGCTGCCACAGCACCGAAAGATGCGCCCGAAATCTTATTTACGAGCACATCCGGTGCGTATTTCTTAAAGCAACTCGCAACTCCAACATGATAGATGCCCAGAAAACCGCAACCCGCGAACGATAAATTCATCCTACAAATCCCCAATACACTTTTTTCAGCAAGTTTTCTGTAGAGAAATGCAAAATTAAATCATTACCAGATTCAGGGTGATCACGGAGAGGCCAACAAGCAATGGCAATTCCTGAAAAGCGAATCATTCGAAGCACAGACCACAACAGGAAAGACCGAACCACCGTTCAACTCTAGTCCCTGCATCGAACGACACGACGCGTTGTGTATGGGGAGCCCGGGCAATGTGATTGGCTGGGGCGAGTGGCGCGATGTTCCAGCAGCGTACGGCATATATGTGAAAGAAAGGGAGAGCACTCCATCCCCAATCCCTGTCTTTCTTTCCGGGCCCCAACACGTTATCCACCATGAAGCCATCTGGCAGCCGTGATGGTCTCCAGAATGACAAAAGGCAGCATCCAAAGGTTTACAATGCACTGCAATACTGTACTCTTGACAAATGGGATTTTCAACCGATTGATCGCCTCGCACTGATCTCGTGATATAAGCACCTGGCCAATATTTTTTTAAATTCTGGGTGTTCAGAATTATATTCAGATTTTCTGTGCTCCTAACATGATAAATGAGTTTCATGTGTGATGTATCGAAGGAAATAAAAATAAATTCTCAGCTTTCATATAATTCAAGAATAATAAGGCAAAAAAATGTTGCTGCACAATGAATAAATTGGCCATCTGACGACTCTCACCATGGAGAGATGAGTCGATTTGCATGCATACACTACATTATACTTCCATCTCCTTGCAATTAAAAATGATGTGAACTTTAATAACTTGATGAATTCGGGATACATTTCATGCCTCCTCCGAAATGGAGAGGCTTCATTAAAGGGAAAAGCGAGGCTTTCTTCCAGAATTGCAAACTAAAAGCCCCTGTGAATGTGTTAGAAATACTGTACTGAGAAAACTAGTTAGCATCTTTTTTTCTGGTTTGATCAAGAATTTATCTTGCAGTCACTTCCTTTTACATTCGGTCAACAGTTTTTGGGCGAGTAACTTTATCAAAGAAATAAGAGCCATTTTCTTGAAAAAGTGACAACAGCAGCCTAATTGGCGCACGTCTTACTACCAGCGAGGACCCGTTAGCTGTGCGACGCAGCGCTATCTCGTTGAACAGAAGCGCGGTAAGCGGGTGCATCGAAACGCTCCTATTTTAAATAAATTTACAGAATAATCTTTTATTTTTTTAAACCATTTGAAAATTTTGACCTTCAGGTTTAAAACACGTTACGATCCTTCCTGCTCTCTCTCGCTGTCTCACATAAATTCTGACTCCTCAAATACATACTGTATATTCAAAAACAAGCGATGCAAATGATTGAATAATCCTTTTAGCCTATTGTTTTGAGCAGAAAACTCCCAAAATGTGCAGTTCCAGTTCAACAAGCGCCCTAATAGAATCTCATACTCATCCTACAAAAGTCGAATACTTTGCTGCACAGCATGCGACATTCAGGTTATGATTATTACATGTTTTGTCAGAGCGCCCATCCCTACTTCAGCTTGCCCATGAATAGCAGAAGTAAGGTCAATGTCACCGGCAGAAGGGGGATTTCCCGAGCAATTCTGAACTCACTCTAAAGGGGAGCTTGTGGAAATACTGACGATGAGTGTGTCTTCCACGACCTGTGTTCAGAAAAAGGTTGCGTTTGTCCATCAGAGGATTTTTCATCGGAACCACAGGTATATTTGGGAATCCGAAGCCCCTTGTCAAGTCCTGCTTTCATTTTCTTCAGCAAAAAAAAAAACAAGGATTCAAAGAAGTGAAAAATTGATTGTGGATGGAAAATGTCAGCATTCAATTTCCCACTGCTTCTCTGCTTTGCTCTCCTAGACAAGGATCACTGCCTGATGGAGTGAGGCCACTGGGTTGTTGCTCCACCACAGCAGGATAAGTGAGAAAATGAATTGCAGACACAACAAACTTTTTCATTCAGGGATGTATTCCATTATTAGCTTGGCTCTTGTTCCTTGCCCATATATTTCTAATTACCAGATTATTTTTCTCCTCTGGAAATGCAGCCACATTTCTGTTTTCCAAAGAATGAACTTGTGGCCAATACTGAATGAATGAATGAACAGAACACTTTATTTGCTGCTTTTCAGAATTCACAAGGCACAACCAAGACTCCCGCATCCAAACCCCCTCCCCACCCAATACTGGCTCTCAAAAAACATTGCAATGGCGCTATGATATGGCTAAATACATTGCAAAATTCCAATCTTCCCTCCTGTATCCTCCAAGTATATCTGTACCACTGTGCAGTGAAAAAGCTAGAAAGAAGTAAAGGAAATGAAGGGATGCTCAAACCTGGCTCCCCATTTTGTTCCAAACATTGCATTTCAGTCACAGCATTCCCCCTTAAGGGTGCAAAGCTAGGCCACCTTTGACTAGGGCTAAAAAGTCATTGTGAAGAAAACCCGGCTCTGGTCCAATCTGTGTTCACCAACTTCAATCTCAACCATGCTAACATTTACAACGTCACCTCTATCAATGAATGTCCAAGATTTTCCTTGGGATCCCCAATGTTTGAAAAGCATTTTCTCTGAAGTCATCCATAACCACAAGTTCTCAGTATTTCAACAGGGTGCCATTTTATCGTGTTGTACATTTGGTCTTTATTGAGTAGAGAAACAGATTTCACCAACCCTTTGAAAAAGATTTATGCACTTTTTGAGGAATGGTTAACATCTTTGATATCTTGGGGTCCCAATGAATGTATGAGATCTCTCAACTTGCCTATGCTACAACCTGTAACAGGGCATTGCTGGGAACTGTCATCAACAAGCCATTATTATTCCAAAACAATGACCACAAAAATATTAATTTCCTCATCTCAAAAACTCTCGGAGTTACATTTCTTTAGGTCCCCTACTCCCCTCTGAGTTTGACTCGTGATTGCAGCTATACTATTATTCTGATTATGTGTATGCTTTTTTTTTACTCTCTTCAAGTTTAAATCAATTTTATTGAATACCATACTACAGGAGTAAACTGTCTCCTGTTCATTTTGAGAGAACTTGATAATCAGTCCACAACAAAAATCATTTTAACATTTGAAGCTCACTGGAAAGAAGAAACACTTTTGAGAACTCTTTTAAATAAACATTTGCAATTTCAGCATACTTTGTTTTAGAAAAATATTATTCATTTAGTGCTGGATTTCTTCCCGCTACATTAATATCCCAAATTTTTTCATATGCTACATTGACAAAATTTAAAACAGGTAAAGACTCCTGAACTGATGATACGCAAACCATCTGTGGTATTTAAGCACCTGCCAAGTGGTGCATAATATCTTCATTGACTAAGACAGATCATACTGAGGAATGAGGAGTGGTTCGTAAATTGGATGCAAAAGCAGATAAAGAGGCCCACATCATGATAGCCACCAAACAGAAAAATGCGTTTCTAGGATTGTCATTAGAGGGGAGAGGGGAGTCCACTTAATTATCCCACTCAAAATTCAAAAGCAATTAGGTTCCTTTTGAACCAATCAGGTGCGAGCCCTTAATAGAGAAAATCAAGTCACAATTTTGAATCATCATCATTCAGATGTGATAGTATGGGTGGAATATATCTGTAGAGCACAATCCAGTGCACCAGCAAACTACAGTATTTGTTATAGGGATACATTTTTTTGTTTAGAGAACCCCCATGGGATCAGCGGAGAACCTTTTGGAGGCAAAAATTTTTTATGAAGAGGAAACTGCTGTTTTAGACAAAATCAATTTAGAGAGAATTACTGTATTTACTCAAGTACCCCTCAAGTAATCCTTGAGTAAGGCATGCACAGGGGTTTTTCAGTTCAAAATCGAGTAAGACGTGCACCCCATTTTTAGTGACTCTAAAACTGCAAAATTTTGAAAATAAAAAAAAAAATTGACTTTGGATGTGAATTGAACATGAATCTGATCAATTTTCAAAATTTTCAGTAAAAATAAGTTTTCTTGGTACATTTGTTTATAAATTTCTCCATTATAATCAAGTATAATTAACCCACAACGACCGAAAACATCTTGGAAATTCTGTACCCGCTTATGTCGCACACCCCTTCTTTTCTTCTGAAATTTGAGAAAAAAGGTGCAGATACTGGTACTTGAGTAAATGCGGATGCGTGGATGTGTTGGGTGCAGATGTACTTTGTGTGCTGAGTGCTGAAACGTGATCTGATGCATGACCAATTGTCTTGGGACTTGGGGAGGCATAAATTTAAAAAATGACCTTTCTCACGCAGTTGAATTGATGTTCCAATATTATCTTTACCTATTTTTGTTGGCCTGGACAATGACTTCTCAGATCAAGTGAACTGAAGAATGAGTTCAAAGTGGCCAAGAACCCTTCAACAAGTTTTGAAAAATAATGAAAGAAGTAAAAATATTGATGCCCTGGGAATATGATTGATGAGTTATTGTGAACTGCTTGAGTGAATTGTGCCTCATTATATCTGAATCAAAAACCACTTCAGATCCTGGACGGCATTGAGTCATTATCCGTTTCATTCACTAATCATCATCGTCAATCCCATCCAGTTTTTCGCAATATGGCGTCAATAATTGATTTTAACAGGTAATACCTCGATCTCTCAGCTGACCAATTACCCTGTCTGCTCAGGCATGAACTTGGATTCGTGTCGATGAATTGCGGATTGATCCGGCGACGCCTGACGCGAGTCGACAGGCACCTGCGTGGCAAATGCCAGCCAGCAGCATTCGGTCGTTACTAGGACAACCGGTTCTGACGCATTTGTGCTGATGCGTTCGTAAACCGCAAAACTCGGATCAGCGATCAGTATCACCTCCTGGCCTGTAACAGTGATTTCAAAAGTTCTGCGATTATGTCCGATTCGTTGATCAAGAGCGGTGCTAGGATCCAGGCCTCGTCCAACGACGAACGCTTTCCCCCGAAGAGCATCATTGATGGGTAACTATACTGTAAATACGGAAATAAACTGGATTTTTCGAGAATTTTGTGTATGACGTAATTTTTTGAGAAGGTGTCTTTTTGTGGCTCCAGAAGGCAGTTTTCTCCATGATATCTCGTTACATTGAATGTCTATAGGTGGAGATGATTTTTTTTAAAACGAACTTGTTGGTCGACTCCGCATTTTCCTCAATATGAGAATAAAGAAATCGGAGAAGTTCGAATTGCACGAAATTATTTTTTGGTGGTGTACTCACGGGAAATGCAAGAGAATTCTCTATTAATTTCGTAAATTGTGATCTTATATAAAATGCATTTTTAAATGTTTTCCGAAAGGTTTTCCACTCAGTGGGATTCAATGTTACAACGAATCATCGCTGTACAGTATACCCATGGTAATATTTTTCTTGTGTGAACTTGCAGCATGGTCCCGAATTCCCGATACACTCTCTCAGGGAGAAAACATCTTGCAGATCTTTTTTTGGCATGAGACGAACTTATTCTTGCAATTATTTTCAGTGGAACACGTTATCTACCGTTACCCGTGCAATTCAACGAAAAAACTCAGGATCTCAGGTATCTGAGAGTTCATTTCCGAGAAATTCTACTGCATCATTGTCGAAGCAATTCCTGAACGAAGAGCTTCTCTGCATATTTTAGAATGTGCATACTCCATTTATTGTCGGGTCTTCAAATTTTTTTTGCAAAATTACAATAAAAAGAACGGAATCTCTGGAAGACCCAAAAATGGCAAAGGCCACATCAATCAGAATTATAATTTAAATTTTTATGTGATGTTTATTCGGTATGTGTGTTTTTTTCATATTTATTTTAGAAGATCGGACACATTTTGGGCAGCTGGTGGAACTTTTCCACAACAGTTCACTATATCTTTCCCCAGCAGCTGCAACTTACAGCACGTGACAATTTACTGCTATAAAGGTGAAAAGGGAAAGCAAAGGTTATTTTCCGTGTGCTCCATCGGCTATAGATCGAGCCAGATGTTAGATATGAAGCGATTGTAAAATACACACATTAGATTAAATTTCTGAGGCTTTTGAGTTGTTTTAAGATTTAATTATGGATCGAAGGGTCGATAAGGTACTGCATTCATATGACTCTTGCGGACGAATGAAGGAATTACAGTACTGTACGGTGCTTTATATGCACGTTATATCTGATATTTATAGTTTAAAATTGAGATAAAAACGAACCTTCTGCTGTTTGTCAAAGTTAATGTGCAAACATTTTCAAGCTAATAATGTATAGTATATAAGAATCGAATGAAAGATGTATAGTAAAGTTAGTCTCCAAAATAAAAGCATTTTTACTTTGGAGACAATTTGAACTTTTGGATTACTGTACTGCAAATGTCAAGGTTGAATCAACGGATTACAGGTATTTTATGATCGTAACAATTTATATAAATGTATGCATTGAATTCGTTTCCATTCACAGTGAGAGATATAATGGTTGAAAGGAGCACAAAACAGATCCCCGTGAAGTTCGAACCACTCGCGGAAAAAGGTGCGTATCAAGTTTTCATTGCCGAATTTAATTGCTGCTAACAAATACACAACACTGAATTGCATAAATGTTTTTGTTTTCAATTTTCAGTACATTCTGACGATTTATAGTTTACACTTTTACAGTATTACTTCACAATACGTCAGCGTATGTAATGAAATTTCAGTCTTGAAATATAAAAAAATTCAATTTTGACTCGAGATACTTCCCGTGTAAGTGGCGCAGATCCTGCCAGCAATTAACACCTATTGTGCAGAACAAAATCCAGCAGTGCACAGTATTTTTTTTACTCAAATCCATTTATATCCCTGGGAAGGTCAAAGTTTGAAACAGGAGCGACATCTATGCATTTTTTGACAGAACTCGAAAGAAGAGAGAACGATTTGAACGTAGAGGAGCTCGTTAGCGCCGAGTTCACCGCGACGCACCTCCGCTTCACTATCCGAGCAGCATACGATCATTTCTGCTCCGTCCACAAAGTGACAGTCGGCGAGCTGAAATCGGCTTCCGGAACCGGTGCATCAACAGAAGAAAACAATTTACTCAGCGTCGGACTGGACACTGCCCCAAAATTAAGCCCGAGACACCCAAAAAGTGCCATGAGACGACGTGAAAGCACCGTGCCCAGCAGACGATCTCCGATTAACGTAAGGAAAATTGAATACAAATGGCCTTCGTCATCGAAATTTATAACAGTTTCTACATAGAACTTTTTGAAAAGAAGGACGATGTTCCCATTTCAAGTGAGAAGTGCCTCATTTTTTATTACCGTCAAATTTTCATGTTGTTTCTCCATTATTTGTGGACGAGGAGAAACAGGTAAACCACAATTATTTCAAATTGACCCAACATCAGCAACCTTTCACTGATCAAAATGTGCTGAACCCGAGTCAATGTCTATCGCACTCTATTAATCTCAGATCATACTACGGACACTCTAAAATTACCCGACCAAAAGACAATTTTTGGTTATCATGGTCGCAAAATCAGGAGAGCGAAAAATGGTGGAAAACCGATTCAAGATGTTTTATTCGATTATCTGATATTCCATACTGGTGTAATTTAAAAATGAACATTTCGCTGTTCGGAAAATTTTGTAAATTTCACTGTATATGCGCGGAAACCTGACACTGAAAGTACAGTAACACAAGCGAATTTACGTAATTATGAGCACCCCCCAGATTTTTTTATGCACAATATTAAATTTTTTTTTAATGATGGGCGAAAATAAGCACCCACTTACTTTTCTGGTGTTCTGTCATTACAGGTTCTTAAAATTTCGAACTAAATTTTGGTTATCCCCAGAAAAAGAAAATTCGTGTCACATAAACACTTTATCTTCCCCTTACCGTCATTGACCCATGCATCTTGAAGTTCTAAACGCTCAACCTTTCATGATTATTTTCAACTTCAAATCCAAAAGACCTGAAGAAAAGGTTAAGTGCTCGATCATTTTTTGAGCCACAAAACAGGAAAATTTTCTGATATACCGTAAATTCATATTTACAAAAATTGCATAAATATGCAAATAAAAGCACCAGGTAGTTATTTTTGAGCTTCCGAAATCGGGATAATAATTTTCAGATTCCAGCTTCGAATCCTGAGTACACATGAAGGATTTCTGAAAAATGTGAATCTGACTGATGTGAAAATTTTTCTTCAGCTCTTGACAGAAGACGACGAGGATGACAACTACAATGACCCCATTGACAATGAAATGAACCGACATTCTGTGCGGATTGTGGGGAACACGAAGCTGAACCCGAGACCCAATCTATTGGGAGATCGAGATGAACTCCACGACATTCACGACGATGATGATGACGATGAAAACACTGATATGGTCGATACCTTCTAAAAAAAATTATCCGATTCATGTAAATTCCGTCAGTCTGGAGTTTATCCGTTGCAATTTTGAAGAAAAAGGAAGATGAGGATGATTTTACGTACACAGTAGTATTGAAACTTTAAACAAAAATGTTGGACAACATCCGGTGCTTAATTGACTGAAATAACAAAACCAGGTAACGTGAGGAAATCAATAAAAGAAAACTCAGTCTATAAGCTTTTTTCCAGAAGTGAGACAATTTTTTTCTTAAAAAAGGAAATACAATAACGCACGAGTTTTTCATCGCAGTAAGTCTGATTTTCAGACATAAAAAGAAAGACATTTATTAATTAAAATCCTAAATTTTTTTTGACATTTTTTATGCGAAAAATAATTATATTTTAGGTTCTACATGATTCGAACAATCCGCAATGCGTGAGGAAATGATGCGAGTACAAAAAAATTAAGGATAACAATCGATTTTTATTTTGAGCAAACGGTCGTCAAGGGAATTTAGGGGTTTAGATTTAAGAAAAACGCATTCTTTGGTAGTGGTGATATTTGAAAAATCTCATCGTAAGTAGAGCTCTTGAAGATTTCTTGCATAAATTCTCGAATAGAAATAGAAATTCGAAATACAGTATATGTTAACGCACCGTTGGTATTTTTCAGCATCATTACTCAAGAAAAAAACGGAAAATGCTTCAAACGCTAACACAAATGTCAGCAATTTCATCTCCTTAAATAATTTTGTCAACAGCATTTCCGTCAGCAACTTTTGTCGTCTCAAGGGCAATTAATTTCGCAAGCAAACTACTGTATTATCCGAAGCAGAGTTCTCTATTCTAATTGAAAATCGAATGTTGCCCCGAGTTCATGGTGAGAAACAAAAATCCATTAGCGTTGTATCCAATATCCGTGAACGACACTATTTAGCATTATATCTGTAAATAGTGCTTGAGTGGAAGTTTAATCAAGTATTTCGCCTTTTATTTCTATTTTTTGTTTGTTTGTTGATAAAACATGATATACCGTAGTACAGTATTTGAAGTGATTCACGGAGGAAGTAGCAGAGGAGAAAAAAACAGTGTGATCCCGTTACTTCCATCGAATGAAATGGGCAGCAATAAAAAAAAAGGATTCCAAAACGCATTCCGCGCAGCTTGAACTTGCGATCATTCCAAGTGGCCGCCAGGTATTTAAACTTGACTTGTTCTTATACTGGATACAAGTTGGAATTGTTATTGAGAGGCCAACAATGGATTCCACAGCTGGTAAAAGCCCAATCGGCAGCGAATTGAGCCTCATTCCCTCGGATGACGGCCATAACGTTTATGAGAATTGCCTCATCGGCAACGACGACGACCATCAGGAAACAATGACTGACTTCGCCATTCGCACCCATCCATGCTGTCTTACACACACACCGACGTTTAGTAGGGCCCCAAGAAGTAAGCTTATTCTTCAGTTACGAAGCTCTAGCAAAAGTATAACGGGGCAGTAGCAGCTAAAAGGGGGCCGTCTTGGAAAATGACGCGCTTAGCACAGTTATTTTTGGCCCGCAGACGCGGAGTTATAAAGCGGGATTCGGCGTGATTCCGCGGCCTGGCGAGTTTTTCTTGCCCCACCTCGACTAGCTCTCGACTGCAGCTGGATTGCGGGATTATTGCTGACGTAATAAACGCAGAAATTGTGCCCAATTTCGGCTGTAAATGAGTAGCCTGGGTATCCCGAACTTTGCTTGGGTTCTGGTCACGTCGCGTTTCAGTCTTCCGCTTCAGTTCTCGCCAGCAACAGCACGCGTACTTGTCCCACGCCTTTTTCTGGCCGACCGATCGATTGATTGATTAATTTGATTGACGAATCGATGATGAATTCGACAAGTTCTGAAAGATTCCAGTGATATTGAGGAATTTTTCGTGTTTTTTTGCGTTCGCGGGTGCTGGACGGAGATGAGAAGCTTACCAGTGTGTCGGGAAAATGCGAAAGGCTCATTCAGATCCAGCAACAGTATCGTAGACAGCTGAAAATATCGAATACAGGATTGAGAACAGAATTTGTTTTTGCATTCAGTTGATTCAAAGTTGTGTTTTGATTAGGAGTTCCAGAAATGTTCCTTGCCTTTCCACGATAAGTTCCCCGGGAAAGTTATGATTGAAACCGTGAAAGGATGAAATAACGAATCTATTGCTCGCAACCTTCCTTTAGAAGACGTCACTTTAATTTAAACACGACCAAAAACATAATATTCTCTCATGTTGAAGCAGCTCCTTAGTTGCGAGATTTTTCTCCGATGGGTCGAAGGAAATTAATTTCGCAAGCGAACTATTTATTATCCGAAGCAGTGTTATCTATTCTAAGTAAAAATCGAATGTTTCCCGAGTTCATCGTGAGAAACAAAAATCCATTAGCGATGTATCCAATATCCAATACCCGAGAAACTACGAGAGAAAACGCAGGGAAAAATAAAATGCCGGGAGATGAAATGTCACACGAATGATACGCCTCAGAGTCAGAAAAGCTAAATTGTCCGCTAAACGAGAGTCCTTTTTTTTCCCAGCTCTTGATCTTGCTTTTAAGATGTAAAAAGTGATACAACGTGGATTTATTGCTTCTTATTAAATCGTTCACCGTATTTCGGCAAATAAAAGCACTCAATGAATGTAAGCGCGCAAAAACTTCATGCAAAAATTAAAATTCAATTAATAAGCGCATGTTAATTAATGGCGATCCTTACTTTCCTGGTGGTCTTATGTTTCTGAAGCCTAAAATTTCTAAATGAATTTAGTTTTGTTTTTCAGAAAAGAATAATCTCAAGACTAGATGAACAAAGGCCATCTGCAGCATGCACGAAATTCCTTGTCTGCATATTTCTCTTGGATGTCCTAGTACAGTACTTGAATAATCGATAATAAATAGTAATGCTTAGATATAATTTCTGAAGACTTATTTTTTAAGTATTTCCACTTATTTTCATTGCTCTGGTGACTTGGAATTTAAAAAAAGGATTGCTTATACTGAACTGTATTTAGGCATCTCGCATAAATGTACAAATTATTGAAGCACCCCCTTATTTTGAAATCGGAAAAAGGGGTGCTTATATTTTCGCATAAATTCTGTACGTATTGATCAAGTTATTTCTTGTTGCTTCCCTTTTCTTGGGCGTTTTGAAGAGTAGCATTTCATCGGTCGATTTTCGTTTTCTTGGCATCAGCATGTGATTTCTTTGCAACGTTTTCTCATTCGTGCTGTATTGTATGCAGTTTTATCTTCCCCGGATTTATTTATTTTTTTGCATGTAGTGATGCATCTCCACTTCCTTTCTTCTCGCTTAACTTTCTCCACGCCAGCGTTTTGTCCAAGAAGTGCGACGTTTTATCACGGTGCTGTTCTCGAAAATTCAGAGTCAAGTGTTGTAGAGCATTATCCAAGTCCGCTTTGGTATTGATTGCCACTTTAAAAAATGTAACCTCGGTCCACATCAACATGAGATTCATCGAGGAAAGCGAAACGACGGCATTTGTTCTGGTCTACCTCATTATAGGGATGTCGAGATATTATCAGCATAACATTCATGACATATGAATGTTTAGTAAGGTATTAGATACAAGTTATCCTTGAGATTAAACACAGATTTACGGATTGAAAAAATCCGAATAACAAAACGATTCCGTCAATTTGTCCTGATATTTTCCTGGTGCATGCAACAAAGATCGCGGTCATCAAATTTGATGTAGTAATAAAAATGCTATATTTTTATTCTGCTCCTTATTTTATGAAAACTATTGCTTGAAAACGGTTAAAAGTTCTTCACATTTTAGTACAAATAAAACGTGATCTTTTTGATAGCACACAAAGTACTGCACATCAGATAAGTTTATCTATACTAGGAAGCATGTCATAATGTTTATGCGTATAATTCACGGTATGTGATGTCAAATATATGAAAATCTATTACGCGACATGAACGTAATGAAATTTAAAGTTGCCATTTAAAAATTCCTTTTTGTCATTTTTTCCCTTATAGATTGATTGAATCCTTCACACTTTGCATTTTCACTCGCTCTTGAGGAGCCAGTTGCAAAGAAACAAATTTTCGAGAGAGATATATATTTGGAAGTTTCAACCAAAACGGAACAATTAATAGACTCTTCAAAAATACAGATGATTTGAATATGGTCAGCTGTCTAACATATTATTATTTGATTCACAATATGGGCATTCCATATTTTTCAAACACGATTTGTCGCACATCAAATATATTATCATGTTATATTTTATTTCATGAGATCAGCAGTTTACTTCATCAACGGGTGAGGGAGTTATGAACAGTGTTTCACGGCCTTTCTTAGTTTTGAAATTTACCCCAGAGAATAAGTTTACTTCAAAATTTGCGCCGCCCTTTCAATTTTCATTGCATACAACCAAGAACAGTATTAATTATGCGGGCAACCAAATGATAATCCATTCAAGCAGGTTTTTTAACGAAGGTCAAGCATCTTTTCTCAAATCTACTTGTCGCCAAACAAGTAGGCTTTTTAAATTTTTTCAAAACTAATACTGTACTGTGCATGCAAAGCAGTATAACTATTTAAAAGACATACTTAACATGAACTGAAATAGTTCATTCATTATCTTTTCGTTGTTTTTAGAGAGAAGCTTCTCCGGTGTGAAATATATAGTGCGAGACATCTATTATCCGGGGTGCCACTGTGTATTCCGTGTACGCAAAATTTCCTTGTTTTTTTTTGCACCGCTGAATAATACCGTGAAGTCCTCACGCCACGTACGTTTCGGAATGTTGCCTTGTTTCACGCGTTTTTCTGCTTCGCGTTTTTCGAATATATTACTTGGAAAGACAAGGAAAATACTCTAGAGTACAGTGTATGCCGAGAAGAAAAAGAAGAAGCCACAGTTGTTGCTGTATATGTAGCTTGTTCCCTGTCGGCAGCCGCGAAAAGCCGGCAGATTCCAACAGAAACACGCGAGCAGCAAAAAGCCTCGATGCCGCGCGGCCATCATGTGTTGTTCAATTTCCACGTGCACGTCTGCCACTCTGGCTTCATCGAATGACGCAGAAATTCGGCGGGATTACATTGCGAAAGTCGGATTTTATTTTTTATTTTACTTTGCCGAATGCTTTAAGAAGCTAAGTTTCGGAAGATGACTTGCTTCGAACTTAGATTGAAACCCATTACATGCAGTCTAATATAAAAATAAAAAACCCACGGTCATGACATATTGGCGTAAGAGCTTTTTTTTACTTTTTAACTTCGTGTCACCCCAAAGCTCGACCGAGGCAAAAAAGTAGCTCAAGCATGATTTCCTCTAGTAATTTGAGGGAAATGAATTCATAAGTTCCATGCTCCCAGCACAGCAGAATGAGTTCAGCAAAAAGAAATGAAATAATGCAGAAGAAGACACAAGAAACAAAGAACAAGCGAATACAACCTCAATTTTCAATTGAGAATTAATGACAGCAGCCTAAGTTGAAAGTCATAGTGAAAGGCGAATTTCCACAAATCTGAATATTTATATATTCCAGAAGACACACGCTAATTTCCCAAAATTTCAAATTCTCCATTATATTAGCCTTGAAAGGTACACTTTTCACTTGAAAAATAAAAATAAATGTTTTATTTTTTTAGCCAACATTGTTTGCCACAAGAGAATAAAGATTGGAGTTTTCCTGGACTTCAACTGCGGTAATCAGTACAAGTTTTTTCTGTTCGCTTGAACACGGCATTTTGCAATGTATTTGCAGAAAGATCAAAGTGTCAAGCCAGGGTTGGAGAACTTGTACATTATGCGTTCGAAGAGAAAATCAAGACTGAATTAGGAGAATTTTCGTAATTTTAAGAACAGCACACTATTTTATCTCACTCGAACTGAAAAAGGTACAGTACCTTAAAAGTTCCACGCAAAATAAATAATTTAGATTTTAAAGAAGCCGGTGACTTTCAAATATTTATTAACTCTCAATTCACGTATATTATATTATACGTGAATAATATAATATACGTGAATAGTATAATAAGCTGCATAGTATATTTAAAAAATAAACCCACGCGAACATCGTGTACGCATATACGTTCAATTAGAGGCAAACATTATAATTTCCAATATTATTGAGCAAGGGACAAACTATTCTT